CTATTCGGAGTACTTCTCTTCTCTCATCCCTTCTCTTCTTTTTTCCCTCCTCCTTCCTCTTTTTCTTCTCTTCCCTTTTCTCCTCCCTTTCCTCCTCCCCCCCCCTTTTTTTTTTTTTTTTTTTTTTTTTTAACGGCGTGTTTGGCTATATTTTCTGTGTCACTGGGAGGGGTAGATTAGAAATAAGGAAACCACAGGGACAAGACTGAAATAGGGGACCGAACGGACTTCTTGAAAGGCTAGGACAGACAGGGACACAAGTAGAATTTGGGCTTGTACCCGACAACGGTTTTCCAGCAGCACGGGCAGGCCCAGCAGTAAACCAGTGGGCCTGGAAGAGCCCGGTAGCTTTCAAAAGGTCACAGGCCCGAACCTAGATATGCAATAGGCGAGATTCACGCACTGAAGTAGACTTGCAGTCTGAAATGATGTTCCCACCAAAAAGGCAGGAACTACCAGTATGCCCAGTACACCGAATTGAAGCAGTACCACAGCGAAGCGAAGCGAAGCTCTGAGGCCGCGTTGCAAGAGTATATCATCCAGGTACTATGAGTGAAGAAGTATCTTACCCGGCAGTCATGCGACTGCTCGCCCCAGAGGGTGATGTTTGGCGGAGCTCCTACTGAGCAGGGGAGCGGAGGACGGAGAAGACGACCTCCCTGGCAGTGGAGGACTCCGAGGAGATTTGCATGGAATTCTTACGTGTGCTTGGAGGTATTACCATTCTCATAACAATTTTGTGGGTAGTTCAGGGGGGGAATAAGTGACCCTAACTATCCAATACAGCCCTCTTCTTATGGGGGATATGAGACCATCAAGCAATAGGGGGTGATATGAGACCCTCGAGCAGGAGGGGAGCGACATGTGACCCTAAGGACCTGATACACCCCCTGCAAGTGAACACAGCCTCTATGACAGTCCTAGACTTACCTAAATTGAAGACTGGAGGGGTCCTGTGCAGCAGGGCGGAGTGAGCGAGAACTGCCGCGTCCCTTTTCTAGCCAGTGCCCAAGGGGTTTTCCAATCTTTAAGTGGAGTACAGATGCGATTTTCCCTTTTTTTTTTCATTTTTCTTTAGTTTGGACACTTGGGTGTCGTATGTCATTCTTGTGTTTAAGTTTTTTTTTGTTTTTTTTTTGTTCTTGTTTTTGTTTCATGTGTGTGTGATAGATCCGATCAATCAATCGATTGGCCACCAATGGATCAATCGACTGAATGATTGGATCGATCACACACACACACACACACACACACACACACACACACACACAAGACAAACACGCGCGCGCACGTCCTTTTTTTTTTCCTTTTTTTTTTTTTTTAATGCCCAGGTTATTGTAGAGGCAGTGTATCAGCCTATCAGGCACATGAATACTCTCCGGGGTTCAGTCACTCGAAGATCAGAATGACCCACTTGGCCCTCTTGGACCTACCTAGACAGAGTCCTCTACAGGCTTAGAGCCCTAAGTCCTATCGCAAGTCGTGTCCCTTCCACACCATACAGCTTGCCACCAGAGATCAGACTCTGTCCCTACAGATCCAACCTCCAACCGGATGTATTGCGGGTCCACTCCAAGCAGCTTTGTCCCCCAACCCTTTACTTAGCAGATCCCAAGCCAACCCCCCCTCGGACAGGCATAGAGGGCCTACCACCCTCCTATTAATGTACAGTAACCCGCCCCCCTGATCCACCTATCCTACCCACTACTAAGGAGACAGGCTCAGTACAAGCCCTACCTCGAGCTACACTCTATCGGCATCCTCTCTGCTAGTCCCTCCAGCCCCTATACCCATCTCATAGCCTACCCTTGCTTGGTCCCTGATGGGCCCAAGGATCCTGATGACGGGGCTATGAGGGTGCCCCAATGTCTATACACTGCTTAGAGACGACCAGCCGGCCAGGTGGTCAACTCGCACCTGCTGGTCATCAGGCAGACTCTAACTACTTGGACTACCGCAGGTAGTATTTCTACCTACGATGCGATTTCCCACCCACCCATGCGGTCTCCGCAGGTGGCCCATGAGGCCACTTTGTATGTGAGCCAACTACTCCCCTCAAACGGTGAACTACCCATTAAGCAGCCCGAACCATTCGTCCCTACCTACCACAAGGTTCCTGTACCCCTCCCCCCCCACACACCCAGAGATGAGACAGCCTTTTTACTGGGAAACCCCAAGGTTCGAGACACACACGAGAGGAACACACCTAGACATACTACCCGCCGTGCCACTCCCCTCCACTATGCAGGCCCACTTCTGACCTGGAAAACCCAAGGTTACTTCTAGACAGAGACCTCCCTAGGGAGAGTCAGGGAGTAGAAGACGTAGGGTTCTCTGGGCCTGCATACTATACTATAGTCAAGTACTTACTATATGCCAGCGAGGTTCAAGCA